GGGGGGCCGCCGCCTCGGGTCGGTGTGGGTGTGGGTTCCCCTCGGGCCGGTGAGAGCCGCGGGGTCGGTGCCTCCTCCCGCTTTCGTTTCGGGCGCCTCACCCTTCCTCCCGCCGAGGAGGAGCAGCCCCCGCTCCGGGCCCGTGGGATGTCACCCGTGCCGTGACGGGGCGTCCCCCGCGGTGGGCGCTGGCCCGGCTGCGGCCCGTGGTGCTGCGGAGGGCGGCTTCAGCCCTCGCCCCGGGAGCAGCGGCTTGAGTCCGTAAGGTCCCGAGCTTTGCCATTTCCTGGTAAGGCGATCGCAGTCGTGAGCGACAGTGGATGGGGGGGAAGATGCACCTGAAAGTGGGTGAGGATGAGACGCGTCCTGTGCCCGAGGAGGAAGCGCGCTCTGCGTTTCGCTTTGGTGGAAGAAACGTTGCCATCGTGTTGGAAACTAGGCTGACACATCAATTAACAGAAACCAGAGCCACTTTTCATAGATGCATTGCCAAAACCTCCCCACACGGTTTAGGAGCGGGCTCTTGATTTCACTGCTGTCATCCTTACTTAAGTGGTCATCCTTACTTATTTCCTCTCTTATCTAAATCGCTCGTCAGATTTTCGGTTTGGACTGTGTAATAGTTGGACAAAGTCTTAACTAAGTTTCTCAAAACAGCAGAGCGGTGTCAGACCTTGGCCCCGCTCTTGAAGAAGGCTGAGGTCCAGTGGTTCTTAAAGAGAATAGTTTTACAAAACTGTTTACGAACCAAGCCTGGAAAAACTATAAATAGCAGAGCAGTAGAAATCACGAGCATGTGCGTTGACCAGGTTATAGCTTATTCATAAGTAAGGTACTTTCTGCTCTGTGAAAGCATACATGTAGGAACTGCAGATCTTTCTTGGAGGCAGCTTTCCTGCAGTCGTTGCTTTTGACAGAGGAAAAACTACGGAAAGAGAATGAAGCTTGAAAAAATACTTTGGCATTGAACAAGTATGTAGTTATACAGTCGTTTGTTACTACATCTTAATTTCCTTATACCTCTCCCCATGCCTTTACAGTTGCTTATTCTTTCTGGAATATTCTTTTTATTTTTTCATCAGTAAATTTAGTGCTAGAATTAATTTCCCTGCATTTCCCTTATCAGTATGAGCACAGTGGGTTTTTTTGAAGTCCTTTATAACAGAAGTTTAAAATACTGTTTCTCCTAGAGAATATTTACCAAAACAACAACAAAAAAAGTGGGGGGAAGTCTAGGTGATACAACGCCTTCTGCACTTAAGCAGTAAAAACATATTTTTTAGAAAGTGCTATGATTTTAGTAAATGTTGTCTTCGTATCTCTGCAAATGTGAAAGGCAGGGATAACTCTCTACAATTTGATATAACTAGACACCAAGTTCTTAAGAATACAAAGACTAGGGAACCTTAAATTAAGCCGTCAGATGGTTTAAAGTATTCTGAAATAAGCTTTTAAACTTACTTCATTTGTCTCGTATTTGTGCCAAGTAAGAGAGTTTGCTTGGTAGCACAGATTGGGGATTTAGTAATTAAAAATAGCACTTTTTCAAGAGTTAAACGTGTACTATGGATATTATACTGTTGATGATGGCCATGTTTTTCTGACAGCAAATATCCAAGTTTTGCTATTACCTGAAAATGTAGTGCTTTGAGTCAATTTTTCAGAAACTCTCTGATTTCCTACTGGGTGGATAGTCCTATTGAGTTTTGACTGTACAGAGTAGGTGCGTTGTTTGAATCTTTGCAGATTTGTAGGCTAGTGAAATAGTAGATGCTGAGAAACTCTAATTGCAGTGCTCTTTCATGTTGTTAAAGGTGTGAGAGTCCTCGTTGATGCCAGAGAGAAACTTCATATCCCTTGGGGAGATCCTGCTAACCAGAGTAATGGAGATACGATGATGGCTTTTGATACTCGGTCAGTCACGGTGGTGCAAGGCATGGTGGAGACGGCAGTTTTTTTACAGTACCTTCCAGCCATAAGAGCTCTATGGGCGGATAGTGGTATCCAGCACGCGTACGACAGGCGCAGAGAATTCCAGCTGGTAAGATTTGTGTTTCAGTGTTTTTAATTGAGCGCGTATGATTCTTGTTCCTGTGTTGCTTTTCCATAAAACGCTGATCAAGCAGCCTCCTCATGGATCTTAAGCATTTTTGAATGGTAGACTGTTACACTGTGGTATTGCAAACAGATGCATTTAGCTTCTTCCCTTCCCTTTTTTTAAAAACAAGACTAATAAAGAGCTTCTGACATAATTGTCCTCATTTCATATGTGAGAAAGCTGAGGTATAGAGGGCTTTTATGTTTTGTAACAAAGCTGGTAGCTGTGTAGTGTTTTTACCATATGATTATTTCCACCCTTTGTTAACTAGTGCATCGACTTAAAAAAACAAACAAAAAAATGGTTTGCAATAAAGGAAGACTTAATAGTAATGTGATTTTAAAGAAAAGATATGCATGGGTTAATGAGAAGAATTTAAAAACCACTCCCTTCTCTATTCCAATTTGAGCAATCCAGCAAACATTCCCTCTGTATACTTCCTGTTTAATTTTGAATGTCTGTGTTAATACTCATGTAATGAGATTTTTGTTATATTGAAGTTCTCAGCTGAAGATGGAGTATACAATTTAATAGTGGGCTTGGGATGGAGTATACAATTCAATAGTGGGGTTGGAAGGGAAAAAGAAACATGTCTTGATTCTTGAGCTGGAGCTTTAACTGTCTGTGACAGCTGAAGTCCCTTCATTATGTTTCCACACAAATGTCGCAAAAGGAAACCAAGAATTTAAATTAAATGTGCTGTTCATTGGTTCATAGACTTTTGTAGTAAATGCCAGTGGCATAGGGTTTTGTGGGGGTGGGGGCTGAGAACCTTAAAATAGATTAAATCTGTTCTTGTAGGTCTCTTAAACCTAAGTGGCTTTGTGTTTTTATGTCTTAAAAATAACCTTTGTGTTAGTGTGAATCTGAACAATAGCTGATGGTGTCTCCTGTTGAGTATGATTACACAACCATTCATAATACTCTGACTTAAATAGGTTGTGTAAATACTCTATAAATATGTATTGCCCTGATCACTGAATGTCTTCTAGAGATTGCAGAATGGGCAGGTGCTTGAGTAGCCTGTCACCTGCCCAGCCTAGTTCTGAGCTATGTAACTAAGTTTCTAATGAGACTGTTGCTCCTTGCGTTTTGCCTTCAAAGTGATCGTAAAAGGGTAATTGCTCCGCTATAGTCAAGATCCTCTTATGGTGCAGATGTGACTTCTAGTAACGTAATTGCTGTGCTGGAGTGATCTGTTTTAAAATCCGTTAAAAAAAATTGTTTTGTCTCTGATTAAGCGTGTTTAGTGACTTCAGGCTAAGTGGCAAAGGAAAAGGGAGCTATTACTATCCTGTCATCTTGAGTCTCTGAGAAGTAGGTTCTTTCCATAACTGAAGCATGTGCAGAGTTTCGCTTTGAGTAGGATTTGAAGAATGTGTTCTTCTGAATCCAACAGAAAAAAAACTATTGCTTTCTTTTGGGAATTCCTTAGTCTGTGTAATGTTCTCTGCAAAAATACATATGGATCATGTTTGTGTTTTAGGCAGAACTCGAGAATATTTTTTTAAGTGCTCTTAATAGTTGAGTACTGTCCTCATGCTAATTTTTAAAAGTAAGGTAACTGCTTTATTTATACTTACATTGCTTTATTTCCTAAATCCTTTCAAAATCTCAGCCTGAGATATTTATGCCAAGTTATAAACATGAAAAAAATAAAAGCTGAGTGATGTCGTCGTATTGAGTACAGGCGATGTGATCAGTGCTGGCCAAGCGTGAAGTCTCGGTTTTACCCCAGTAGGCTTCCAGCGAAATCATGACAGAGCTCCATGTGAGTGGCAGAATGGCGGAAAACTCCTGAAAGCAGTATGTATTTTTGCTGTACCTGCTGACAGGCTTTGTGGAAGAGGGGTCAGAGAGTTTAGGTATGTGCCGTAAAATGGAAGGAAGGCATAAATGGTTAAAGAGGGAGTGACAGGCATACCCGAGTCAGGAGATAGAGCAGGGGGAAGTTGGAAGAGACGCAGACAGTTCAGTTCTGTCAAGTACTGACTCTTGAAGTAAGGATTCAAGACCGAAAATTGTTAGCATTGTAGAATGGGGAATAAGAAAAAAATACTGTTCTACTTCCAGTTCAGCTGCTTGTGGCAAAAAACGTAATGAAAGGAGAGATACCAGCAATCATTAGATGAGTAGGAGAGAGGGAAAAGCGGCATAAAAAAAAAAGTGTAAAATGCTGGGACTGAGCATGGTAGAAGAGTATTATTTGACTGTATATACTCCTTTTCAGACTGTTGAGTGAGTTTAACTTTTTTCACGGGACCGAGTTTGACACCGCACTGAAAAACATGGTTCATATTAAGAAAGCACAGGCAGGAATGCTGGGAAAGTATTGTTTGTCATGGGAATAGGACACTTTGGGGCAGAGGTAGAAGTGAGCAAATGAAGAACAGAGCAGTGATGGATAAGGAGTGAAAGCTGTCAAAATTAAGATAGAAATTCTGGAGGAAAGGAAGCAAGAGTGTGTAGTTTAGAAGCCATTTGTAGCTTGGACAGATAGGAAGTACAGAGAAAGGGGGTTGAAGATGAAAGTTTCTGCATGTATATGGTTAAAACTTGAAGATATATGTACATTTGTGAGAGATCATTGAGCTGTTCTTGCTTTTTTTTTCCTCCATCATCTTTCACTTACAATGCCAGAGGTGATGCTAGGAGCCTAAAGAAACAAGGTGGTCTTTCTATAGCGGTGTGAGAAGGGAAAAACGAGAACTTGGTTGTATTTTAATGGAATTAGAAATCAGCATTTCCATGCCTAGTTCACTGGAGTGTTCTTCCTCATTTTAAGTCGTCATGGGGGTAGTAAATATGATTTATTTTCCTTGGTATAAAAATAGGGGCCTTCTGGCCACTAACAACAGTATTTATGAAAATTCATTAGTTCATGCTTGTGTAGTGCTTTAAAACTGGAAAGAGCTAATTACAGCTTAGTACAATATATGCCACTTCAATACTTCACAGGTGGTTAATATTATAATCCCTCAAATTTTATTACAAACTGAAGTAATTCAGGTGATAGTTCCACAAACATGGTTAACTAAAGACTGTTTTGGCTCTAGCTTAGTCAGTTCCTGTAACTTAAGATTCTGGTCATCCTGAAGCTTTCTCTCCTTCATCTACCATTTCTCCTACGGCCTCTAGTGAGATGGTTAACATGGATTAGTTACAGAGTTAGTCTGAATCAGCCTAATGCTTTCTGACATCTAATTAACATTTCAGATTTCTCATTGCAAGTTGATTTCCAGTAAAAATCTTCTGAAATGACTTGGATAAACATATCCATTATCTTAATTCTACAACACACAAACCAATTTAACTAGACATTTCCTAGCCTTTATATTTATACTCATGAGCTATTCAATTATGTGGTTGTAAAGGTTTGCTGTTCTCTTTGAGATTTGCTTTGAGGCACTGGCAGCTGAGGAGTGTCTAGTGCTGGTGCTGTGTATCTAGTAACACCAAGGAAAGTACTTCTGAGTAAGAGTACCATTGTATACTGCCTCTCACTTCAGTGCGTTTGCTGTGAACTTGTATTTCTTGCACTTGCTGTGAGACTCATTAACAGAGAAGCGTTTTGAAGTAGTCTCCAGGAGTCTTCTAGTTCTCTGAGAATGGAAAAGTGGGATGAGAGCTGAGTGCTCAGATGCATGACAAGCTTTGAATGTGTTAAAGGTTTGTTCGTGTTAAAGATAACTTTTGGGTGGGTTTGGATGTTTGCTGCCAGCAATTGTTGAACTTGCAAGTAGGGCGAAAAGTATCTATCTGAAATTACACTGACTGTTGGGGTTTTTTTTATGCCACGAACCTGCAATGTGCAGGGGCAGTGATGACGCTTCAGTCTGTCTGCATCTGCGTAGAACTGCAGACATAGATGATACAGTAAGGATGATAGGATATGCATTTACCTCTGGATCCTGTTTACTTCTGTGACATGTCTGCAAGTGCTAGATCAGATTATAGAAGACAGGAAAAGGCGTGTTCAGCTTGAAGTTCTAGTGCTAGTTTTGCTGTAGCTTCTCTGCAGCATTTTTCTGTTGCAGAGTAGTATTTTGGAGAGTGTTGTTTAGTTTACTGGAAGATTGTGTTTTATTCTGGTTGGGCTTTTCTGGGTTCTGTCTATGAATGTTGGTGGGGCTCTTGTACGCATGAGAACGTTAAATTAGCTCTACTGGAAATAATGAGTCCTCAAATGGCCACTGCAAAGTATTAGCAAAATTTACCACTCTTTCAGGTGCATAGGCAACATGTCCTTGAAATGTGTTTGATTATAGAGATAGATCCTGTGGAGGTTGGTTGTGTTTGAAGCCAGACTAGGTTGCCAGATGTTGAGGTCTTCCTCTTTCTCAAGTGTGGATGCCCATCTTATGTGTGGCAGTTGTGAAGTCAGTACTTCAACATCTCTGAAATACAAGTGTAGAACCTGGAAAAAGAATATCTTACCTGTCCTTCATTAAAAGCATCTACACCATATTTGTGACACTGAACTTCAGAAGCCTTTCAACAACTTGTGCTCTTTGTAATGTGTTAATATTCCTCCCAGTATTCATCCTCTGCAAACTCCCCACACCCTTAAGTTGGGGGGCAGAGATGTCTTTCTCCCCTCCCTTTCCCGGATCTCCTCTTGGTTCTGGGATTGGATGTTTGGTTGTCCTGCTCTGTTTCTGCTTGAAGTGTGTAGGTGGTGCTTCTACTAGGACATGCTTGAGTGCATAAACTGTCAGTAGAAAGTTTCTCAGACTGATAGAAGAATCTTCTTCATTACAGATATGAGACCCAATCACCTGGTGTTTCTGTAAACATGTTCACTGACTATTTGGGCACTGAATCATATAATTCAGAGTTACTTTATTTAAATACGGCATTGTAATTACACTGAATGTTGCTTAAGTTTTTTGGGGGAAAAACAAAAAGCTGCTGCTTTGTATGCATTGAAATACAAACTATTT